CTCTCTCTCTCTCTCTCTCTCTCTCTCTCTCTCTCTCTCTCTTGTTGCACATGGGGAGGCGACCGTGCTGTGACAATTCCGGGCTGAAGAGGGGTCCATGGACAGCAGAGGAAGACCAGAAGCTCATCAGCTTCATCCTCAACAACGGCATACACCGTTGGCGTCTCGTGCCGAAGCTTGCTGGTGCTTCTTCCTCATCATCGAGTTATCTGGAGCAGATTTCCTCCGACATTCAAGACTGTGAAATCAAGCTCCTTTATGCTTTGATTGATCACTAGTGTTCGCTTTTGGTGTAGGTCTTATGAGATGTGGGAAGAGCTGCAGGCTGAGATGGACTAACTACCTTCGTCCTGACCTCAAGAGAGGCGCCATTTCCGAGGAAGAAGAGAACCAGATCATCCAGCTCCACTCCAGCCTCGGGAACAGGTACGTCCTCGCCCGGCCCTCTCCGTTAAATCCTCACCTCACACAATATGCATGTTCTTGAATCCTCGAGCGCTCACAGATGGTCCAAGATCGCATCACACTTCCCTGGCCGAACTGACAACGAGATCAAGAACCACTGGAACACCCGAATCAAGAAGAAGCTCGAGCTCCTTCGCGTGGATCCAGCGACCCACCAGCTCATCATCAATCAGCAGCCTGAGAGATATGATCATGGACATGCCGATGCTCGTCCACAAGCAGAAGGGAAGAGCACAGATGTGTCCGAAGACGAATTTGGTCTCATGCATAGTAGCATTTGGATGCCAAGTGATCGGAGCTCGAACGAAGAAGAGACGATACCACAGGTCAAGTCTTCAGGCAGCTGCAGCTCTTCCTTCTGTGCCTCCTCTATGGCAAGTGCACTTGATACTGAAGAAACCAAGCTGTGCTACGACTCTTTTCCTCCATGGGAAGCCATGTATCCTTTTGAGGATCTCGTCCTTCATGGGAGCTTGCTGTAAGTCATCATAAACAACACGGAGGCAGACGAAGTTCCTTTTTGCTACAAAACTGCTTCATGATATTAGGAACTCAGAATGTAATAGAAGAGCTCGCCTTCTTTGTCACATGATCATGTCTGGTTATGTGTGTGACGATTCTTTGTAGTCTCAACATTCTTCAAACAAATGTGTTGCTTAGATTTCTCTTCATGTAATTACTCTTTAGATATTTTTACTTGCATATACCGGAAAGTCATGAGTCGATAGAGGAAAAATAAGTTGAGATAATCCTTGGCATTGTCTGTTTATCATGGAATGCAATCTTATGGGAGTAGAAACAAAAATTTTCATGGTCACTAACCATTTCAGGATCGTAAAACAATATGAAATCAAGAGGATTTATACATAATTGGTGAAAATGCCTTATTGTGCAATGACAACTTGGAATTCATTCGATGAGAAAAAGTGACTGTAAATGGTGAAATACTTTTGTTGTTGGATGTTGCGGCTCTTTATAATTTGATAAGATATATATAATATAATTAATTAGATTCTGATAAAATATTTTAGCTAATAAAATAGAAATCCACTTAAAATAGAATTCCTTAAGAGATAGGAGAAAATCTCCTAATATCTAAACCATCGGCTCTCGTAAACTAAGCGATCTTGGATTAAAGACGATGCATTTCCATTGTAGATCAAACAAAGATCTCTGAACAAAAGGTATGCATCGTTAAATCAGATCTAAATATTTGATTTCAATCATGAGACATAAAGATTATTTTCATATTTAACTTAGTATATTACAGATTTTTATGTATGAGAGCCTTTATAATTAGTATGAAAGCTTAAATTCTTGAGATCAAATACACTGATGTATTATTTTGGTCAATGATTCACCTTTATCTCTTCGACTGCGTACAGCCGTGGGCAGCGTCCGCGCGGGCAGCAGGCGGCAGCACCGCACCCATGCGGTAGCCGCGCGTAGGCATAGGCCGTTTCTAGGCGGCAGCCGCGTGCGGGTTGGCCACGCCCAGGCGGCAGCCGTGCGTGAGCATAGGCCGCACCCAAGCGGCGGCCGCGCGCAGGCAGGAACCGCCGCAGCGGCCGCGCGCGACCAGCAGCAGCCCCCGCGGTAGCTCGCGGGCGACGGCAGCGCCGCACGCGCAAGCGGCTGCAGCGGAGGCAGATTAGGGTTTTACCCTCGAGGCTAGGGTTTTATCAAATTATAATTATGCCCTTTCCAGATTTAGGAATTTCAATTTATGTCCTGACAACATATTTACAGTTTTACCTTCATGAAATTTAGAATTTTAATTTATATTCTTAATTGTAAAATTGATAAATATGATTCATTATAATTATGATTGAATTTAATCATGATTATATTTTTACTATTTGATTGGAATTAATCTTTGATTTAAAAAAATATAAATTATGGTTTAGTTTTTATAGTTTTCTCAAATGAATTATTGATTATACATATGATAAATAAAATTCAATTATTGTTCTTGGATATTCATTTGGTTATTCACATGTATATATGAAATTATGAATAATGTTTACTTTTCACATAAAGACATGATTTATATGTTATCATGATTATCATATGAGTTTTTTTACTAATTAATGTTCAATAATTATTATGTTTATTATTTTATTATTAAATTATTTAGTATTAATATTTAATAATTATTATAGTTGTTATTTTATTATTGAACTATTTAGCATTAATATTCAATAATTATTATGATTGTTATTCTATTATTGAATTGCTTAGTATAAATTAAAGAAATTTGATAAATATTATTTTTAATTTATCTTCCTAAGTTTTATCTGTAGTTGCGAAAGTGGCTTGAGATGAAAGACTTTTATGATGTGAATTACAATAAAAGTTTTATCATTTATAGGATATTTTAAATTATATTTTATATTTTGTATTGGTCTTGTAGCCACCAAAATGACCTAGACTAATGATTTATAAAATAATATTAAGGAATCAGTCCTAAATGATATTAAGGAAATAATATTCATAATAGCACACATAATTAGGAGATTTAGATAATCTCAAAAGAGAATCTACCTTAAATAATTATGTGATAGGGTAGGATGATATTGTTTTGGATATCTTTGCAGTTTAGGGTTATATACCCAAAGGTAACAATCCTTCATAAATGTTCTTGAGTGAACACTAGATATGTCAATATTTCACCCAAAAGTGTAATATAGATGATATCAATAGTTTATCAAATTTTGACAAATTTAAAGCATTAATGTTATTCTATATTTTTACAGTGGTACTACCATCCATACATTTATATGCTTCTAGCATTCCTGTACTCTCTGTATCAAATTATTTAGAATGGTTAGAGTATGTGAAATTTACACTGGATGTATTAGATCTTAATTTAGTATTGCTTGTTGAAAAGCCTATAGACTTGACTGATGAAAGTACTGTAGAACAAGTTAATAAAATGAAAGCTCGAGAAAGATCTGATAGACTAAGTTTAATGTTCATAAGAATGACAATTGCAAATAATATAAAGACTTCATTACCGATTGTAACTAACGCACAAGAATATTTAAAGGTTATTGAAGACAGATTTAAATCTACTAATAAGTCATTGGTTGGCATATTAATGAAAGAACTAATAACGGTTCAGTATGATAACACTCGAGGAATTCAAGATCACATCCTTAATATGGCTAACAAAGCTGTAAAACTTAAAACATTAGGCATGAATGTTGATGAGTCTTTCCTCGTACAGTTTATTCTCAATTCCCTTCCTTCTTAGTTTGGCTCATTTAAGATTCACTGCAATACAAATAAAGATAAGTGGGACTTGAATGAGTTAACTAGCATGTATGTTCAGGAAGAATTGAGATTAATGCAAGAAAGTTCATATAATGTTATGACTACTACTCAAGGTGCTGATAACAAGAAAAGAAAATTGAAGCATCATCAATCAAAGAAATTTATCGGGTCTAGAAATGTTAAATAGACTAATGAAAAGAAAGTCTTTACTATAAAGTATTTCTTTTATGGCAAGAAAGGATATGTGAAGAAGGACTACATTAAATGTAAAACTTGGTTCGAAAAGAAAGGTATTAACTCGACCTTTGTATGTTTCGAATTAAACATTACAGAAATTTGTTCTAATACTTGGTGAATTGATTTTAGTGCTTCAACTCATGTTACCAATAACATGCAAAGATTTCTTTCAATCCGGAAACCAAAAGAACATGAGAGGTTCATCATTATGGAAAATCATCTTAAAACGAAAGTGATATTAGTGGGGACTTATCGTCTACGCTTTGAGACGGGTCATCTGATGGATCTTATTGACACGTGTTATATTCCTACTATTTCTAGAAATTTAGTTTCTCTATCTAGAATTGATGAGTTAAGATATTATCTTTATTTTGGTTGTGGTAAACTCAAGATATTTTATGATTCAATAAAAATTGGTTCTGGAATTCTGTGTGATTGTTTGGATAGAATTAATTTGGATCTCGAGTTTGTAAAGACATTAATGACCATGCAATCAAGTATGGATTGAGACATAGTTTCAATAATAAAAGGTCTTCTATATCGTGGAAAGAATTGAAAGATTAGTGAAGGATAATATTTTGAAACATTTAGACTTCACTGATTTTAATATTTGTATAGATTGCATTAAGGGAAAGCAAATTAAACATATAAAGAAAAATACCACAAGAAGTAAAGAACTCATTGAAATTATTCATACTGATATCTGCAAACCACTCCATATTCTTTGTTTTAATGAAGAAAAGTATTTCATCATATTTATAGATGACATGTCCAGATATGGCTATGTTTATCTAATACATGAAAAGTCACTCGTTGATACTCTTGAAGTGTACATAAATGAGGTTGAGAAATAATTAGATAGAAAAGTTAAAATTTTTAGATCTGATAGGGGTGGTGAATTTTATGGCAGATATGATGGATCCGGTCAGAATATTGGTCCTTTTGCTAGATTCCTAGAACAGCGGGGTATTTATGCTCAATATGCAATACTAGGTGTGCCATAGTAGAATGGTATTGCTGAAAGGCAAAATCGTACTCTTATAGATATGGTAAGGAGCATGATGAGTTATTCCTCTATACTTGAGTCGATGTGAGGTGAAGCTCTTATGATAGCTATGTACATCTTAAATAGAGTTCCTAGTAAGTCAGTTCCATCATCTCCATTTGAGTTATGGACTAGTAGGAAACCCAGTCTGAGATATTCACATATTTGGGGATGTCTTACAGAAATAAGAGTATTTAATCCACATAAAAAGTGTTGGGAAATCTTGGAGGCGACATCACATGCACAGCGGAAGAACAAGAAAACAAAATCCCCGATTCCCAAAAAGACGTTCGTCGTCGTGCGAAGATTGGTGCGCAAAATCCGCGAAACTTAAAACTACGTATAGAGTAGATTGTGTTACCTAGGGAGATCGTATATCTCGTATATCCCTGTTTCCTTGTAGATCCTTAGGAGAGGGTGAAGGAGGTCAAGCGTCCTCCTCTCTAGCGGTGATCCACACAGCAGGGTTACGACGACGCTCCTCAAAACTCCAGGCCTGCTCTGAGGTGGAGAGGGAGAGGAGAATAGGAAAGGTAAGCAAAGGCTCTAGCCTATGAGGCTCTGAATCCCTCCTATTTATAGAGGTCCCCTGTCAAACCCTAATGGGTCCTCCCCTAGTGGGTATTGGATCTGCATCCAATAAGACAAGGGCTCCGTCGGATATCTCATATCCGAAACTCTACTCATCGCAATGCCTACCATATGTGTATGACCCTCTAGGCCCAATATCGAGCTGGTCGTGAGTCATACCCATCAGAACTCCTTCTAACTCAGTGAATTATTATCTCTGTAATAATTTACTTGACTCATCGACTACGGACATACTAGGCCACTACGTCGTAGTCCCCAGACGATACAGGGGAATCCAATCCATTGGACTTGTCTGGCCTCAGTTACCGTGTACCTATAGTCCCTCATCCATCTAATATCCCAGAGACCGTATATCGAGCATGGTGTTGTCAGACCCATACGGTTTCTACTCGAGTCTCGCTCTAATCGGATTCTCCCGGAGAACTCTTTCTCTCTCAACCCGAATGACCCTGGCCAGGGATTTGTTTGAGTAAGAACACATGGGATATTCCTCTCATGACGCTGAGAGTGGATGATCCTCTATCGACACTCAATAGTCCTCGTAAGGTCGACTACC